GCCGGGGATGAGCTTCTGTATCACAGGTGGCTCCTTCTATAAATTTTTTCAGCCAGCTTACAACTTGAGTGGCTGGTTGTAAAACATAAGCTGAGTAAAATTCCTCTTTCAGGATTTCAGAATAGAAAAGCTGAGAGGCTCAGAACACTGTATTGCTGAACAAAAAGTCAGCAGGAGTGACAGGCATGAGCAAGCTGCAGGTATGAGGAAGCAGATCCCGTGTGCGAGCAGCGGAGAAGGTGAACCGAACAGGAACGGGAGAAAAGAAGCCACGGCTCTGTGAGAAGGGTGCTGTCCTGGCTCCTGGTGGTTCCTGCAGCCTGCCCGTACTGTGATTACTGTTGTCTGATGCTCACGAGATTGCTGCATTATTCTCTTAAATCCCCGAGTCCAAGTGTACCTTTGTTTTCTGTAATAACTGGGCCAGAGTTGCGTGTTCCGGGAAGCCTTTATAATGTCATGACAACACATGTGGAAGAAAGAGGCACAGTAACTACTCTGAACAGCAGCAGTATGAAGTCCCCAGCTCAGCGTTCATTCTACTCCTGCTGAAAGCATTAGCTTAAGGAAGGGAAAAAAGGCTGTATCACTTTTTGCTTTGGAGGAAGAGGAGGAGGAGGAGCTTCTTATATCAAAATTAGTCTTTTCTTGTTTGTTTTTTGGCTGGAGCTGGGTTTGTACCTGCCATCTCCAGTATATGGGGCCTGCACCCTACTCCTTTGAGCCACAGGCGCCATCCCAAAATTAGTCTTTAGGTAAGATCACATTCATCCCTGCAAACATAATTTCAAAAGGAAAAGTGATCACTGCTACAAAAATCACATGCAAAGGACAGTAATAAGAGACAAATGTTTTCTGCTACTGGTTAATCGTGGGGCAGTCAAAGCACCTTGTAGATGGCACGTTTGCACACGTCTGCCTTTCACTCTGTCAGTTGCTGGGACTAAGGGGATTGCTGAAGAGCTTCAGGATTCTTATCACAGGAACATGTTCCTCTCCAAATAATAATTGGTAAGTAGATTTATTGAATATTTGTAGGCAAAGAACATTAGGCATATGTGATCAATACTCTGGACCTGGGGTACATTCGGAAAGCCTTTTTATTTATGTCTCCCACTAGTCCTATAAAATATATCTGGTAGAAGAATTTCTTATTCTATTTAGGACCAAAAAAAGGAAAAAAAAAAAAAAAGAAGACAGTGCCAGGACTCTTTCAGCTATTCTCAGGCAGTAGAAAGTTGCGTGGTCATTTTAAATTGTGCTAAGTACATTTGATCCCATGTCACAATCAAAACTTCAGATATGGTTTAAGGTTAAGTCTTACCCTTTTCCCTACTGAGAAGCCATGTGCAGGGGAAGCCAGGGAAGACGAGGGTCATTCTCCCTTTGCTCCTGGCAGCTTCTAGGGCCGGGATGGGAGAAGGCAGGAGGAGCGGCAATGTTCTTATTACAATGGTGGAGTTGTAAGCTGGCCTCCTGCTTCCTGGACCTGGTAAACATTTAAAGGAGACCACATTTTGCAAGGCCTGTTAGGGGTTCCTGTTAGGTTGCTCCCACACTGACGTCTCGGCCTGCAGTTCTTTTGAATCGGGTGAATGTGCTCTCACTTGGAGCAGCCCCTTGGCCCCTGAGAACCTAGTTCCCATCTGGTTCTCCTCTTCTGAGGCCTGCCTGTGCTGAAGGGGCCTCACACCAGCCCCCCTCTTATGTTTGGCTCAGGAGGAAACACACACATACACATTCTTCCCCGGTACAGATGAGCCACAGCGGCTGCCTTCACTCTGTGGCCGAGCTGCTTGCTAACCCGCTCTCTCCTGATTGCCCAGGAGGGTTAGACCATGGTGTTATCTCTGCCCATTTGCTTCCGATGTGTCCCACCTCTGGCCCTCTCTCTTGGTATGAGGTCACTCCCAGCCTTTCACTTTGGTGAGAACTAAGTGAGAGCACACCATCCTTTAAACAAATCCTTTAAATGATCTTCCCTCTCTCCAAGCTACAATAATATCCAATGTAATCTAGTGTCTCCTTGAAACGCGGCACCTATTCTTACTACCATACCCAATACTTCAGTTTGGACATCCTGTAAGCATATTATTGGATCTTTGTTTGTTCAAAATTCTATGCCAAAAATTTGTTGTTTAGATGAAGTACAATTTTACCTTTACTTTCTGTATTTCCTGTACACCATAACCATGTGGTTATACTCAGGAAAGATGTGCCCCAGAGAACACACTCCCAGCCTTTCTGGGTGGCAGTGCTTCTTGAAAGGGACCAAAGGATCCTCTTCCACTCAGCAAAGCAGACACTGAAAGAAACTCTCGGAACTTTTCCAACTGGTGGTCCAGGAGAAGGATTGGCAACCCCAGGACCCAGGGGGCCCACAACCCTCACCCTGCCTGGAGACACTGGGAGAACAGGACACCCCCCCACCCCCACAAGCAGGAGAACCTTGTCTGTAGCACGCCTGGTCATATTGAGGGTGTGACCGCCCTGCAGGATACTAGAAGGTAGCCTGAACTTGGATGCTGAAGGACTAGCAGGAAGACTGCAACAGACTTCCTATTGGGAGACCAGATAGCCCCAAGACATCTGGAGCCAGCAGGGCTGACTCTGGATGGAGAGAGGCAGCAAGGGAAGTGACTGCAGCTAAGGCCTTCAGGGGCTGGGGGCTGTCCATCCCAGCCATCTCACCTCCTCAGTCTCCTCCCTTCACTCACCCACACAAAGCCATCTGCCATCTTCTGAATATTTTGTGCCCTTCCATACCCTCGTATTTTACATACACTCTTCCCTCAGGATGCCATGTCCCCCTCACTCCTCCCTCTATCACTTCTATTCAACCATCAAGCCCCAGCTCCTCTGATTTTCTGTCAACCCTTCCTGCTACTCCCCTGCCTGGATGCTGCACCACTCCACATGAGCCTCCTCCATTCCAGCCCTCGCCGTGCTGAGCTGTGCTTCCCCCACCTGCTCTCCCTGCTCCCTGAGGGACAGACCGTGTCTCAAAGGCAAGGGCTGTCTTATTCATTTTGTTCTCCCACCACATACCATGGTGCTTCAATGTCATAAGGCCTTGGGGTTCATTCTCTACTGCTGTGTAACAAGTTGCCATAGTTAGTAGTTTAAAATGGCACACATTTGTTACTTTTCAGTTTCTATAAATCAAAAGACTTGGAATGGGTGTGGCTAGATACTTGGAGTCTTGCAGAACCGAAATCAAGATGTTAGCCAGGCTACACTTCTGATCTTTGGTCAGGGTTTTCCAATCTCAGTGATTATTGGCAGCTTCATTTCCTTGAAGCTGTAAGACTGATGTCCCCACTTTCCTGCTAGCTCTTGACCAAGAACTTCTAAGTTCCTACAAGCTGCCCAGTTTCTTGCCACGGGGCTCCACTAGCAAGTCACAACATGATGCTTGCTTTCTTGCAGGGCACATCTCTCTGCTTTCCTCTTTGTAACCAGCAAGAGAGAACTCTTTGATTTCAAAGGGCTCCCCTACCTAGGTCAGGCCCATCCAGGATAATCTCCCTTTGCCATATAATGTAACATAATCACAGCAGTGATATTTCCACTGACACTCAAAAGGATGGAATTATACAAAGGTGAGGGTGATTTGGGTCATCCTGGCATTCTGCCTGCTTTAGGACTTAATATTTATAATATCAAATAAGATGGGTTTCAAAAATTTGTAAATTATAAACACTGCTATTCAATTGTTGAGACTTTTCTATTGTTACTTTGAAGAGTCTTGCTATGTTGCCCAGGCTGAATTTGAACTCTTGTGCTTAAGTGATCCTTCTGCTTCAGCCTTTCGAGTAGGCTGGGATTATAGACACCTGCCACTGTGCCAACCTTGGAAGCATTTTATAATTGCTTCCAAATTTGTGTTGAATTCAGAATGGTGATCCCATATGTGAGATAACACAAGTTACTGAGCCCCTGAAATGGGCCCATGGAATAGTGAAAATTTGGGCTGGGTAGCAAGACCTGGGATACCAGCTGACTAGCTATGATCTGTGACCCTGGGTTAAGTCCCTCATAACTCTCTGAATGGATGATTCCACCTCGTGTATAAAATGGTCATTGGAGTAGACAACATTTGAGGTCAGCTAGCTCTAACATTCTATAATTTCTAAGACAGAATCATACTGACCAAATTAAAATATAATGACTCATAATATCCAAATCATCCAAATAGTTCATAAAATTTCATTATAAATGCAACTGCAGTGATGTGATTTTAAGCAGAAAGGCAGTTTTGTTTTTTAGTGAGTCCACACCTATATTGGCTGAACCTGATATATGTAAATAAGGGGCAAACACTATATTTCTAATATTTTACATGGAATGGTGAAGAGTGTTTGTCTTTAGATGACATATCTGTCCAGTTATGGTTGAAAGTGAGAATTTTTTCAAGATATTAAAACCCAATGAAACTATTATAGTAAGTTGGATTAACTCAATTGATGATAACTGAACACCTATCCAAGGCAGTCTTCAAATATTACAAATCCATTCACTGACTATGGGTAAAGCAGGTTGAGATCCTGATATATATTCTGGGAGTTTAAGTCTTTCTTTTGTCTTTCTCAAATGAAGCCTCTTTGCTTGGATAATTATTCTCTTCTACCCAACAAAAATGAACTCTAATTTTAAACAGGTATTATTAAATCCCACTGAAATAGGCTTCATGCAGATGTATTCGTTAAAACATCCCTTTATTGACTGTGCACAGTTATTAACGATTCACATTTCACTTTATCTACTGAGTGGAAAAGCATTTATTCTCTCATTAAAAAGTTAAGTCCTCCAGGGCAGCAGCAGGAACGCAGAGCCCTCTCTGCATTCCTGTCAACAGTACTGCTCAGGAGGGTGAAGTGTGCCTGTACTGATACAAAGGGGCAGGTAAGACCAGTGGACTTCTACCCCCCACCCCCCATCATCTCTACCTGCCAACACACTCCTCTTAGTTTATAAAAAGCCAGTAAGCAAACAGTTTCTGCATTGGTACTTCTATTAATCAGAAGAGGAACTTCAACATTTATTGGGCACCACTGAGTTCAGAACATCCTTAGGGATCTGTGAAAGTGACAAAAGGAATATGAAGCCATGGATAGCTCTTCAAAAGAAGCTTTATGGAAAGAGAGGGCTGGACATCAGGAGGGCATCCATCAGCCTCCAGCACTCTGCTGCTCCAGTTTCAGGAGCTGCTTCTCAAGTTTTGAGGTGTTCACTCGATGCATCATCAGAAACTGGCCATTCAAATGGAAGACAGGAATGTCAAATTTGTACCTTTCATACCAAGTAGAGTTTTCTGGAAGCGTGATGTCCACCTCCTGTAAAATAAACTGAAACACAGACTAAAGCTCTGTATTTTAGACAGCACGAACACGGCAACACCCACAGTGCTGAACTGATCCTGAGACCATTCCTAATGCTGAGAGGGTTTTTTTGTTGTAGGTTCACAGTGATCTAATGTCCCTGATTTCATTACATTCTCCACCTGTGAATCTTGCTAAATCTCTGCTGTACCTGTTATATTCAGCATCAGGGCACTACAACGCATCCCAATGGGGAAGCTGCCTGAGAATCAGGGCAGGAGAGCAGTGTCAATGGGAAAGGGCTGATAGTTTAGTACATGAAAACACTTGTGTGGAAATTACAAAATAAGATAAAAGGAATGGGGAGGGACATTTAAAGAAAGCAGAAATATTGCACCTGCTGGTTAACTTTGACTCATATTAAGAGTCAGAGTAAGAAAACCAGTACTGCTCAGAGAAAAACACTTAGGGGTAATGAGTTTTATGGAAATCAGTACTAAATTCTCTCTGAAGAATAGAAAGAAAATTTAAATTAAAAATCATTTAATCTGTTTTCCTAAAGATCCAGGCAGGTACTTTATGCCACACAGAATATTCATTCCATACGCATAAAAGCTGCGCCATGTCATGTTACCCTGTTTTTGTAAGGCTCCAGTACCTCCTTGGCTTCCTCACAAAGCGGGCATGGATCCTACAGGAAGAAAACCAGTCAAGCCATTAAATCCAAAGAATGGTACTTGGCCTAAGCCAGAAACAAACAAACAAACAAACGAATGAAAAAACCACACACAAAAAATGCAGAACCAAAAAACCCCCCCAAGAACCAGATTATACTTAAAGTACAGTTTTTACCAGGTTAATTACAGTTTTCTTCATGAAGCAAAATAACACCATAGAATCTTATAAATAACTAGTATTTCAGGGCAGAAAGGTTTTCTGCATTTTTTTGTTGTTTGTTTTAATTTTTCTTCAATGATCAATGCATGCAAAAATAAATTTAAGCGCTCACTAGTTTTCACTGATCTCTCTCTCTAAGGGCTTTGTCGTTGCTGGGTCAGGAGCACCTCTGTGGTCTCACACAACTGCTGACACCACCAGAACGGCTCCTCAAAGTTTGCTCAGACTGGGAAGCGCTGAGCCTCACCAGCTTGTTTTTCCTAATCAGTCCACAGCAACAAACCCACTAGGATGAAGTTAGGTAGTAACTCATTTTTAAAAGGGGAAAAAAATCTCTTTGCACTTCAGATGATGATAGCAATTCATAATGTTTTGCCTATTTTCTTATTATAAGTGTCAACAAGAGGTTTCCTGTTTGAAAGAGCAAGCAAGTTTTGGCGTCCACTGTTTGTATTCTTAAACAATCTAGTGGAGAAGTCTGCTGGGAATACTACAGATTACTGGCAGACTTTTAAGGCTTCTTGGCTCTTGACTTCATGAACAGAGACTACCTAGCTATAGGTTCTGCTGCATGAGCTCAAAATAGACGCAGCATTACTGATGCTTATATAAAACCTGCTTTTTTAACATGGCAGATGAGATGAGCTATTCTGTAAAAGAGAAGGCTTTCCTCCAGGTTAACCCAGGGTTGTTTTGAAACAAGAACCGAGACCATTGAAGAGTCTTTCTGACCCTAATTTCCTGAGATGAAGATTCAGGCTGATTGTTAATTATTAGCATTAGCGATAAACAGATCATGAATAATCTGTAATGTTTTAAGATTACATGCTGAAATTTTCTGAAGAAGTTTTAAAACGTTAGCATATAGGGTCTTAAAAGCAAAACAAGAACATATTAAATTGCAGAAGTATTGAACGTACCAAACATTTGCTTTTCTATTAAAAACTTTAGAAGAGCCTAAATCAGGATTTTTGTTTTGTTTTGTGTTTTTAAACCTGGCGTTCATGGAAATCTATGAAAATACATGTCTGTATTTTTCTGAGGGAGTATTCATCAAATTTTAAAAAGAATGAAGAACCAAAAAAGGATCAGGCCCAGTGGTCTGGACCCTTCAAACAGCCTTCTCCAGGATCTTCCGTGGCACTTGTTTACTGTATCCCTAGACTGCAGGAGGTCTGTTGGTTTGGCTGTCCCCCACCCCCTCCCCTTGCTCTTGCAGCAAGAGCTCTGTGATTTCGCTTCATAGGAACCGACTCTCCACACGTGGTGGCCTCTATCCCTGAGCAGCTAGAGTGGAGAGCCTGTCTTAGGCCCAGGCAATCAGCACATCTTGTCCTTCTTGGCTACAACTGGCTCAGGAATGGGCCCTTCAGGGCTGGAGTATCTGTAGATGTGTGAGACGTGAGTTCTGGGGATGTAGTCATCTGCGAGATGAGCCAGAGTGAGGGAGAATTTAACCCAGAGGTTGCGATGCTGAAGAGATGGGTAACATGCTTTGTTCCTAAATCAAGCTATTCCTGAAACCAGACCAACTCCCAAGTTCTCTTTTTGTTTAAGTCAGTCTGGGAAGTATTTTCTACTCTTTATAACTGATAGAGTCCTGACACTGTACTTTAACATTTCTTTTACTGGATTGTAAACTCCTGAAGGTGGGTGTGATATCTTACTACTCTCTGCCTAATGGTAGAGATCAAGACTCGGTACAAACATTAAGCCAAATGGAAGGTTGGTGATTTTTTTTTTTTTAACATACTTTTTTTGTTATCTCAGCTGCTGCTCAAACTGAAACACAGGGCAGAACTGCCAGGTGAGTGAGCAACACTAGCCATAAAGAAGTATTTTATCTTTGTGGTTCATTCTCACATGCATTTATCATCGTAGACCTTCAGATGATATAATATACAATAATGTTAGTGCCATCATTTCCAACAGTGCAATATATATCTGCAAATTTGCAAAGCAGCTTAAATATTCTCAACAAGAAGTTTATTTCTAAGAATAAATTAAATTGTATTATTAGACAACTGTCAGATAATTAGCAGTTGACTGCATAACTGCTAAAATGCTTGAAATCTGAAAAATCTATTAAAAAGAGACCTTTTTTCTTTGAATTGCAGTAGTATTCACAAAAGTTTCTTCTGTAACACTGCACTTTATTTCTTTTTTGATTATAAATCATACAAAGTGATGTGAATTAGCAAAAGGAAATCAGTAATGTATGTATTATATTTCAGGCCCCAAAGCTCTGAAAAGTGTTAAACCAGTTTTTTGGCTTGAACCTAGTGTTAGGGATAAGGAAACAAGCACAATCAATCCTCATTATTCATGGATTCCATATTTGTGAATTTGCCCACTTGCTAAAATTTATTTGCAACAGCCAAATCAATACTCAGTGCTCTGCAGTCATTTATGGGCATGTGCATAC